GAAAAGCAGAGTCTTACTCTCAAGCTTTTCAATTAAAAAGTAGTGATATTCTTTGTTTCTCTATTAATCTTTAGTTTCCTATCTAAAGATCCAAGACAAACATTTAGGATAAGGTTGTGAATTGGAGGATATGTCTATTGAGGCGAAATTCTTTCGGTTCCTGAAGATTGTGGGCGTGGGCTTCAAGGCAAGAGCAGAGGCAGGAGGGAGGATGTTGTTTTTGAAGTTAGGATATAGCCATGGGGTCGAGCTTACAGTACCGCCTACTGTGCGTGTATTCTTCTTCAAACCCAATATTATCTGTTGCACAGGAATACACCTACAGAGGGTTGCTCAGTTTGCAGCTGCAGTGCGAAGTTGTAAGCCCCCTGAAGTGTATAAAGGAAAGGGAATCATGTATCTTGATGAAGTTGTCAAGAAAAAGCTCAGGCAAGAAGTCCAAGTAAGAATCTTGAGGTGCTGTTCCTCTTTGCCCTGTGTGTATTTATTATTTTTAAATTGGGAAAGTTTACAATAAAATTATTTACTTTTGATACGAAAAGGTCACAATCACCTCTAGCTAATATGAAATCATTATCATCGAGACTTTGGGTTTCTACCAATAACTATGCCCAAAGTCCGAGAACATTTTCCTCTAACCTTGTTCGGAGAAAAGGAGGAAATTGGTACACATTACATCTGCTTGAAATAAACCATAAGATTGTGAGGAGTTGGCATATAGTGTCATCCCTTGCGTATACACTTTACACGCGTTCTCATTATAACTGCTGAGTATGGTATTTCTTTTCGTCATCATTACTTTTAAATCTGATAGCTTGGGTGTGTCACAAGGTTCAAGAAAATATCTTTTGATTGGTCAATGAAATAAATGTAGCCACCCAATTTCACATTAATGGTCTCGATTAATTGTGATCACTGTATACCAAAAGTAAATGGTCTCATTATTTACTTTTCCGATATTATTTTAGATATTTTATAAGCAATGGAGTGTTTTCAATGTTTTAAGTTGATGAATTGCACAAGTGGCTTCTCAAGGATATAATGCCTTCTCTGTTTTCATGTATGGTCCATGTCTGCTCTATCTTATTTAAGGAAAAAGTTTATATAAGGTTGCATCTTTAAATTGTAGAATTATAGATGCACTTCAAAAATCCATCAAAAAATATTGTTTTAATGTTGGAAAAACCTCTAATTGGTCATCTCAACATTGCGAAGCATGAATGTAGGGAAAAAAAGATTTTTAAGTCCCAAAAATAGTGTCTTACAATACATTATCTAGACCGTCCATTTTCAAGATTTTGTAATTTTTATAGATCTACTTGATTTCAACCATTTTTGAAGTTTTAAATTTTATAAATAGATATAAAAATAGATTTTGAGATAATCCTAATAATTTTTTCACCAAAATCACATGTTATGGTACATTTGGAGGTGCACCTTAATTGGATTGATTAAGGTTGCAACCTTATAGAAACCACACCCTTTATCTAAAGTAGGTGCCATTTGAACTTGGAAAATTTTTCTCTATTATATCTCACATAATTAGTCGGTGCTTTAAAAATCGTTGATCTAGATTGAAATCTTCATGTATAGACTATATATAATGTGAAAGTATAGGATGAGACCATTTACCTTAAAAATCGTTGATCTAGATTGAAATCATTGTGTAGACTATATATAATGTGAAAGTATAGGATGAGATCATTTGCCTTTGGTACAAGTTGGTCACATTAATCTTGACCATTAAATGTGAAATTGGGTGACTGCAATTATTTCATTGACCGTGTCCTATATATATATATATATATATATATATATATATATATATATAGTAGTAAGTAATAATAATATACTATTACTTATATAAGTAACTAAC